AGTTGTTAAAGTAAGCAGCTGTTTAAAAGCGTTCTCAGGTCCCGGAAACTTTCCACTCGAAGAGTTTCCGTTTCCCCGGGACAGGTCTTTTTAATATCATTTAATATTAAAACAGTTATTATGTTTGTTCATCACGGGAGTTCCAGAAACCAGTATTATATATCATGTGATGAAAATTATGAAACATGGACTTATATTAAATTATAAGTTTGAAATCACCAACCCGTCTTGAGCAAGCGTGTTGATTAATGCTCAAACCTTCTCCATGTTAGAAGATGCTATGCTTAGCAGTGGGTTCTGATATAATGATGATGATATAACAATAAAATATTAAAAATCCTCAAGATGAAGTAAAACAATCCTTCAAGTTAGTATTGTATGTTTAAAAGGTTTTCAAATATCTCTACAAAGCGTTGTTAGCGCCGGTATCTTGAGAGTTATTCGAACAATGTTTTCTTGTTACTTGTTCTTGAGTTAAAGAATTTAAGATGAAAATGTTTTAAGAAACAGAGAAAGATGAGTTACTACAGAGGAGAGACACTGATGACTGTCTGTATGATAGTAATGATCTCAGAAACTATTGGTTTGGTCGTAACATTACGTTAAAAACATACTTAACGTAAACACACACTAAGGTTGAGGAAATCGACCTCAATAATGGATCTATATTATATAAAACATGAAAAGCTGGATATTATATAAGAATTTCACTAATGTTCTTTATAAGTGTGTATATCCCCACTCCTCCCACTCCCGCGGGCCATCACACCTGTCTGTCAACATGTCACATTACATTATATAGGTCAGGGGGTGGAGCAGAGTCCACGTGTGTATCCAATTATTATCACTTATATATAACTTATTTGTTTATCATAATTTTTAGTAAATTTGAATTATTCTCCTAAGTCTGAAAAGCGGGAAAGGTGTTAACACTTGAACATGACTATTGTAATCATTAAGAATATCCCGGATATCGTCGAAAGTAGTGCAAGTCCGCGTGACTACTATTGGATAATTCCTCTTATCTATATTGGAAGCAGATTATCAGAAGAAAGTTTGAGCTGAAATATTATCTATATTAACCACTTTAAAGTATATTGTTTCACAATTAGTAAGATATAATTACTCACAGTGACAAAAATACCTTAATCGTCATTAAATTTAAAAAATTATTTATTTTTAACTTCCGCTATAAAACTAACTCAAAAGCAGATATGCGGAATTATCCAATGTTAGTTACGAGGATTCGCACTATCCCCGAAGATACTAAACAACCTACACTTGGAGACCTGATGATGTCATGGAATACTTTTCATCATATCATATCATATCATAACCCCCCCTTCTACCTCCCACCACCGCACCGTCCCCACGGCGGTCGCGACACGCGATAGACACGCCCGTGGTAATGGATTCAATGTACTAATGGGAAAATAACGGAAAAATATTCAATACATATAAATGTATTTTATTAGTGACAGGACTGACTGACCGTTCGGGTGTAGAGTGGTGTTGTTACAGACAATAACAATATAATATTAGAATTATTAAAACACTACTTATAAGAAACTGTGTGAGAATGTTTTTTGATTATAAACTCAAAAACTACTGATCGTATATCGATAAAACTTTATAATAATGTAGTTCAGACATTAAAATAACATATCCCTACTAATATTATAAATGCGAAAGTAACTCTGTCTGTCTGTCTGTTACGCTTTCACGCCTAAACCACTGAACTGATTTTAATGAAATTTGGTACAGACATAGAGTTGACCTTGAGAAAGAACATAGGATAGTTTTTATCCCAGACTTTTGAAAGGTTCTCTTGGAAACGCGATATAACCGAACTTGACGCGGGTGAAGCTGCGGGCGGAAAGCTATAATACATATCTTCAGTCCGTATATAAAATTCTATAAATATTATCTCAACATATGTACTACACATTTCTCTCAACACAATTCAGATGTTCACGACAACGCAGTATATGTATGTACATATAAAATATTATTTAAATGACTTTAAGACTTTTGATAGTTTCATTCATTTGAATGTAAAAAAACTTATTCCCGACGTTTCGGTTACTTTTCATCAACCGTGATCATAAAGACGAGATGTAGTTATTTAATAAATAAATCAAACGTAGTATATCCGATAAATATTAGTTTCATTTAAATATTATTACAAAATTTTGTTATTTTCATATATATGCGTGTCTGTCCATCCCTAGTCATTTCTAAATTAGATTAATTATATGTCAACTGAAGGCTCCACCTGTACGTGGACGAAATATTTTTTGAATAATAGTCGAGTTGACCGCGATTATAATAACAAAAGCATTAAATAATTTACAACACACAACCTACATTTTAACAAGTCGGTTAAAGTACACATACACATATGTATGTATGTATGTATGTATGTACATATGTAATTCTTTTGTTTATTGTCTGCTTGCCTTATTTTAAGTAAAGACATTACAAGTGACGTCACCCTCACGAGATACGTGTTGAATACTAGTTTGTGACCGCGGCTTTGTCCGCATTAACTTCGGAATTACGAATGTGAAATGTATGTAGTATATTAAAATAATATATATATGTGAATATATGTAAATCATTGAAGCGACATGATTGTGTATTATAGACCACAATTCAAGATAAACTACATCTCATATGTCCTTCTTAGTTCTAATCTTCAATCTAACGTCCATCCACAAGCTCAGTAACTTTTATAATTATATCATCTGTAGGAATTAGTAACCTAAAACGTTTTCTAATATGAGTTTGTTTTTTTGTGTGTGAGGTCAGGTGTCGCTGGTCGCGGTCAAACGGCCGATGGGTGACCGTTATGACGTCACAGCTACCATATTTCGTCCAGTCAGTGAGTCGTGACGTCGTTTCGGTAGTATTCACCTGTACTGGGGTCACCCTCTGGTGATGGACCAGCCGGCGCTGTGTCCGTTATACATTTCCGCACTCACTGACCCCTCACTCACTCACTGAGCCGTCACTCACTCACTCACTCACTCACTCATACTATTTTATAAATTCAACCGACCGTGTCACAGCGGGTTATGTTTTGATGTCAATACACATCACGACAAAACAACTACATATAGGTAATTACTTGTAATATGTTACAGTCACACAAACAGCGTAGAGTTCGGTTATATCGCGTTTCCAAGCCAACCTTTCAAAAGTTTGTGATAAAAACTATCCTATGTTCTTTCTCAAGGTCAACTTTATGTCTGTACTAAATTTCATTAAAATCAGTTCAGTGGTTTAGGCGTGAAAGCGTCACAGACAGAGTTACTTTCGCATTTATAATATTACCTAATAGGAATTCTCCGAAACGACTGGACCAATATTGTCGAAATTTTGTGAACATATTGAGAGTCTGAGAATCGGAAAACATTTATTTTTCATAGCTCTAAGTCATAAGGGCTGTTCAATCATAATTTTTTTCGGACGAAATTTTTTGTTTTTATTATTTTATTATATTGCACTGTAAAACACATACAACACAAAATTTTTAACTTTTTTATCACTAACACCTATTTTATATGGCAAAACGACGTTGACCGGGTCAGCTAGTATAATATATATTGAGATAACTTCATTAATATTTTAGAACATAGCATTTCATACGAGTGTTCAGTGACGTGTACTATGTTGCATATAAAACTTTGTTAATATAATACGAAGAAAGTCACGGGAAATGACTAGCAATTAATAATTATATATTATAATATGTATCACCTGTAGCGACACGCAACGCAGGCGGCAGGTTGGTTGTACAAGTCCGTGGGCCGCCATTATTATAATGAAACAATAACAACACGAAACTGGGGGACACAAACAATAGACGCGCCATCGAGTATCGTTGACGCACTCAATATAATATTAATAACTTATAATACATACATTCGATATTATTTATAGTAATTAATATAAAACATCATTTAACATGACACAATTGAAAAAAGAAGTCTTTCAGTATATGTAACTTACAATGAAAGGGAAATGACGTCATGTGACGCGGGAGCGTTTTAAAGAAATAAGACGAATTTCTTCTCACAGTACAATGTAAATACTAATATTAAACTACTGAAATATATTAAAACTCATATTAAATTTATATATTAATATATATAGTAATAAGTATATTATATTTATAAATATAAGTACGGTTATAATATTTTTTGTATGTAAATCGATTGTCCCGCTGGTTCTAACTGCTAACATTACAAGCGCCATTCTGTTAACGTTCGAAATTTGAAAAGCTTTCGAATGCGAATCGAATCTAAAGTTGAGCAGCGCACGCCGTTATCATCTTTATATACAAGATATTACAGACTATTATTGTATGAAATTAATACATCGCTCTATGGACATAGTAAATTACACAATATCAATTTCTATCACTTGTATAGAAGGTTCATTTTCGTATGTATTGCACGTATTACATTTTGCATACAAAAATCGACCCAATCGTTGACGGATATGACGTCATTCAGCTTGTTCGTATGTCATGCACCTGTCACGGTCAATATAATACTTTTTTTAATGTGAAATTTGCAATAAATGAAACATTGGAATATTTTTAATATATATACTAAGACAGAAATATAGTTTACTAGTTTTTAGCTGCGACTTCGTCCGCGTTAATTTCGTCATTAGTAATGTATGTATAGCTGAGCGGGCGAACTTTATTCCGCTTAGAGGCCGTAAATAACCAGATATTGAATTTTGTTATTATTTTTTTGTTTCTATCGAATAGAATTAATTATCCTACGTCCGTCTCCTTGTACTAATCTATCTCTCCACCAATGTTCTACCGTATCCGTACAGTCGTTCTTAAGTTATAAATAGTGTAATTAACACGACTTTCTTTTATATATAAGAAGATTTCAGAAGAATCTTATTGTATTACAAGCTATCTGTATATTATGTTCTTACTAATATATTCCTCTAAGTATTATTTTCGTTTCTATTACCGTTCTCATAGTTGTTTAATTGCCTCGTAGTGACGGATGTCGCCGAGGGAAAGTTGCTAACGACTGAACCAACTGCCGGTGGATGGATAGAACTCATACTGGGAAGGAAATTATGTGGTTCAGGTGAAAATAATTATATTATATATATAGTATATACAACTTACAAGTCATCTACGTATGTTTTAATCTCATTATATCTCTCTTTATTTCATCTCTGGAGTGTGTTTTTTTATAATTATTTGTAAATGTTGTTACAATTATAAAGATGAACACTCGCCTTAAAACACTATCATGTATAATGATACTCAGCTCGAGTGTGGAGTTACTGTTGTTGGAGGAAATAAGACTTACATTAAAATAAACATCTAGGAACGAGTATAAGGACTCGGGATACTATCTGATTGAGACGCCTTTAATACACACGACACGTATACGATACGATACGACAACGACTGCTTGTATATTGTATGATGACTAAAATAATATGATTGTATAAAGTGTCTTTATATATATGTAGTGTAAGGAACCTGTCTGTTTGTGTGTACGTAAATCGCTCGTGCGTTTACAACATACATATATTATATGTTCATCATCATCATCAGTCTATCAGAGCCCACTGCTGAGCCTCTTCTCACATGGAGAAGGTTTGAGCATTAATCACCACGCTTGGTCAAGACGGGTTGGTGATTTCAAACTTATAATTTGACTACTGACTACACATATCGTATCAAATGTTATAAAATTAATATAATAATATATAAGTAAAGCTAGCAGACACTACTAGTGTTGTTGATCAACACAACGTACACGGTATATGAAATACTTTATAACTTAACAGAAGCAGTGCTTCTTGTTATATTTAATATCAGGAGCTGAGTCTGTTCGTGTAGTTCTTTAGTTCAACACTCCTGTATGTTCTTGTATAGAAATGTTGAAGTGAGCCTCGCTTTGCTCTCACTTACAGTTGAAAACTATTTTTATTGTTTGAACAAGGAAACCTTGAAGACAACTTTATATACAAGAAGTTGTACGAAGCTACAAGGATTTATTATAGAAAAATATAATATTTCATTTAAATGAAACTAATATTCTTCGTATTTTATTATTATAACTTCATACTCCCGACGTTTCGGTTACTTTGCAACCGTGATCATTAAGACGAGATTTGAATGAAAATATTAGTTTCATTTAAATGAATACTCGCGAGTTTTATATGTCATTGTTGTCCTTCATTATTTAAGTATATTAATTGTGTGTTAATTACAGTAATATAATATGATGTGACGAGACCAAGTCTGGATCCAGACCGGACCGAGTCTAGACCGGGGAGAAAGTTGATACACACTCACACGTATATATATATACTAAACATATATGTAAAGGATTTTATTATATACTTCTATACACTATGAATATTCTTTAAACTAATCTTCATAATACGATATAGTTGCATAAACTTTTGTTATTATTTATTTTTAATCATGTATTGATTGTTCAAATGGATAAAGGACAGACGGTGAAGGAAAACATCGTGAGGAAACGTGGACTTATATCAAATTATAAGTTTGAAATCACCAACCCGTCTTGAGCAAGCGTGGTGATTAATGCTCAAACCTTCTCCATGTGAGAAGAGGCTCAGCAGTGGGCTCTGATAGGATGATGATGATGATGTACTATCGAGAAAAACATTCAGGGTCTACAATGGAACTGGCAGATCAGAAAAACTACATCAACCAGGTTTATTTGACACGCGCCGAGTGTGACTTACGAACAGACATACATATTGTGTATGTGTGTGTGTGTGTGTGTGTGTGTATCAAACAATGGTGGTCAGTGAGCGTACCTTCACGGCTCCTGACTCAGGATATAATGAAGAACAGGTATCAGAATAACAGGCGACACAGGGAGACTATACAGTAGTATAGAGAAGTATGGACTGACCGATAGTGGAGGGTAGACTGTACACTACTGAGAATAACGAGTTAAAGATACATGCTAATGGAGATTATATGATTGTATTGTACGTGAAGTACTGAACTGATATTGAACAAACTTTATATTAAAATAGATAGACTCGGAATGCTACATGATGATTGTTACATATTTAATTATCTTCAATGAGATTAAACAGAAACACCATATACATAACGTGGTCATAACGTATGTCTATATGTCTGTGTGTATGTGTGTAACTCCTAAACCTCATATAAATCAATATGAACCCCGAGTCGTTCTGATGACGCGTATTTCTCACGAGTCGTTGTAAGCGGAGCCTCACCGGTCCGAGGACGTTCCGAGAAATGTTAATTCAATGTGAGGATTACGATGTGAACAGACAGACATACATATGTAGTACTATAACTGTAACCTTTATATCAATAACTAGGTTTTCCTTGTGACTTCGTCCGCGTAAATTTCAGCATTGGTATTATATGTATTAATAATATATCTGACCGGGCGTATTCTATTCCGCCCTAGAGGCCATAAATAATCATAAATTGGATTTTATTACTCTATTTTTCGATTGAACAGTACATATTAAATATCCTATTTCCGTCTCCTTGTTCTAATCTATCTCTCAACCAATTTTCATCCATATCCGTACAGTAATTCTTGAGTTATATATGTATAGTGTACTTTCTTTTATATACATATAAAGATTATATTTAATTTAATTAATTCCCGGTTATTATTTAACTGAAGTCTATGGTATTAGAATTTAGAAACAGTGTCAGGATGTATGTTTGTCTCAGGCAGAACCGCTGAACAGATTATGATGTAACTTTACATTTATAACACACATCAGATAAAGACATAGATTAGTGTGTGACGTAACGCGACACACATGTAAGTGACGGTAGGTCTGGTTACGGACGGAGTCGCGGTAAACAAGCTAGTATTTATCAATGAAGACTCACCACAAGTATGTAAGTATGAATATTGTGAATATATTAAACTATGTTATCTTAGTATAGACTGAACAATAACATATTATAAAACTATTATGTGCTGACTGACTCACTGTGAATCACTCACTGACTAAGCTACTAGTTAATAATTAACGATAAAATAACTCGACTTAGAGTTATGATACAGGTGTACACTCAGTACTATACTGACTGACTCAATAATAAACTCTTTAAAAGGTAATGTATTAATATACATGGTAGTATTTACAAGGGAATCAATCGTTAAAGATTTTTGTATGATTACTACAAGTTGTCATCTTCACTACACACTCGACGTTAATAGTATTCATTCATAAATCTCACCACATTGTTTTGACATAAGTTATTGTATGAGAAACGTGAAATACTGAGTGAATAACTCATCATCATCCTATCAGAGCCCACTGCTGAGCCTCTTCTCACATGGAGAAGGTTTGAGCATTAATCACCACGCTCGCTCAAGACGGGTTGGTGATTTCAAACTTATAATTTGATTAAGTCCATGTTTCCTCACGACGTTTTCCTTCATCAGTCAGTGGTATCTAAATCCTTACTAATCCCTACTAATATTATAAATGCGAAAGTAACTCTGTCTGTCTGTTACGCTTTTACGCCTAAACCATTGAACTGATTTTAATAAATTTTTTACAGAGATAGAGTTGACCTTGAAAAAGAAAATAGGATACTTTTTATCCCAGACTTTTGAAAGGTTCTCTTGGAAACGTGACATAACCAAACTCCACGCGGGCGAAGCACCGGCAGAAAGCTAGTACTCATATAAAGTACATATGACTCGGAACAAACACATTGGTACTTGTCAGAATCGAACCCGCGCCCTCATACACGAGGGCCTTTAACCTCTAGACCACCACGAGCTCCCAATCAGTATCATCCTCATATAATGACCTCTTCATCATCACACAGCAGGTTCTATTCATCAGACTCTCGAAAACTAAATTTAAATTCGTCAATACTCCAATATTTTCCATTCATTCAAACCGTTTTTTTTCCGTTGGAATGTTCTCGAGCGTTTTTTAGGCTTTTAACGGGAAATAATGGAGCCGGAGGAATTGAAAAATAATTTGAACATCCGAGTGATGTTATACGGGACGGAGATGGAGACTTAAAATGAAATGAATATTATGTTACTACTTACTAGAGAATTTAAAAAAAATATTAATGAATGTTGTTTATGTATTACTATGAGATATTTGATTATTATTTATAACACAACTCTTCACATTGTATATAATATGAGACAACAAATACATCAGTTGTTCACGTGACTGAACGCCTCTAAACAGTTAGTAAGTTCTCATCCAGACCGTGGCAAATTTTCATTTATAATATACAGTACACGATATTTATAATTATCATTCATAAATTATCAGGAAGTTCTATTGAATATAACTCAATATACACACATACATGCAAACCTTATGTAATATTAATAGTTTATAACTGTTAGGAACAAACACGTAACACGTGACAAGCACAGACAGACATACACCCTCTCATATATACATATATACATATATTCTTTTGACTGTAACATTAAGACTTTAGACTTAATATATGAATTTTAATGACTTAATAATGTATGAATATTTTAATGATTACTCGTGTTTGTCAAACTGTCTGTGTGTTTGTTCTTCAAGCGATATCTACGTAACCTGTATCATCTGTTCCACTAGCTGTATGTATATCTCCCTACCAAAATCTCGGGAACACGATGCTGTATGTATAATGATGAAGACAGTCAACGTGTTTACATTAGGATACAACCAGAGGCGGGGAAGTGTCGTGTTTGTGTTAAGATGAGTGGAAACAGATATTATATGGAGATATAAATATTTACAAGAGAACTGACGACCCCTCGCTACAGACACACGCCCTGATACAATATATGAGACAAAAAGAGACGAATCCTCTCATCATTCAATGTATTCACGGTGCGTGTGTCGGGTCCATCGTTGTAGTGAGAGGAGCTTCAACAGTGACTGGGACTTGTGACCCAGGTGTAGGTTTAATATATATAGAGAGACGAAACCTCTCATCATTCAATGTATTCACGGTGCGTGTGTCGGGTCCATCGTTGTAGTGAGAGGAGCTTCAACAGTGACTGGGACTTGTGACCCAGGTGTAGGTT